GAGTGCATAAAGTTTCATAAATTAATTGCGTTGAGGATAGTAATTAATGAAAAACCATTGGCGTCTTCGACAACAATTCAAACACTGCGCAGAACAATTATTAATAATTAATTAATTAGGGATAAATTTATATCGAAAAATATATGTGAAAGTTCGTGAAGGATCTGGCTTTACGATGGTATTATAAAAGTTCATAAATTAATCACAGATATTGAGTAATTAGTAAATTTTCCACTGCCGATTTGATTTATTAAAATATATTCGGAGCACATAACCAGAGTTAGTAAACTGATATCAGAGCCATCTATGTGCTCATTGCGGAACTTGAGCTTCGAATCTAAAATTATAGATGGCTCTGATGTCAGTTTACTAACTCTGGTTATGTGCTCCGAATATATTTTAATAAATCAAATCGGCAGTGGAAAATTCACTAATTACTCAATATCTGTAATTAATTTATGAACTTTTATAATACCATCGTAAAGCCAGATCCTTCACGAACTTTCACATATATTTTTTCGTAGAAATTTGTCCCTAATTAATTTATTATTAATAATTGTTCTGCGCAGTGTTTGAATTGTTGTCGAAGATTGTCGAAGACGCCATTGATTTTTCATTAATTACTATCCTTTACACTAATTACTATCCTTCACTCAATTAATTTATGAAACTTCAAGCATTCACTATTTAAACAATGTCTTTGCGAATCTTCTCATATAACTTTTAATCACATTTTGCTTCTAGTTTTGTTGAGCATTAAATATTTTCATGGAAGATCGTGATGGTCGCCGTTACGAAATCATAGACGCCATCAAACAAAAATTAATAACTAACAATTTAGAGCAAAATTCTTTACGAATATTATATAAGAACGTAGTCTGAAGTTCCAGCTTTGCAATGAAATTATAAAAGTTCATAAATTAATTACATAAATTGTGTAATTAATAATTTTCACTGCTGGAGCCATTCTATCCTTTTCTATCCTCTCTCTGTCCTTGTCTGACAAGTAACGAGCTGTTCGACGACCTCCTTGCCTATTCTATATTCCTACTACTTTCTTGATTTTTGAGCTCAAACCATAGATGGCGCTGATCGTAGGCGGTAAAATTTTTATTCGAACTGGATATTAGAAATCAATTCGACAGTAGAAAATTAATAAATTGCCAAGTTTTTGTAATTAATTCATGAACAATTATAGCTGCATAACAAAGTTGGAATTATAGGCAGCATTCTTATAGGATGTTTAATTTAATAATTAATACTTACATGAGCGACAGGTTTTATATTTCCTGTAGTAGATAAGATTGCTATAGAAAAGTGTTTTTCTGGCATAATATTCTTATTATTTTGTAATAAATATATACTAGCATAAGAAAGCCTAAAATATAAATTTTTTTATTAAGAAATTTTATTTACAATGTTTTCATAGGCGAAAAATGAATACGAAATGAAAAATAAATTGAAAAAAAAAAAGAAAAACTACCGCACTATGGACGGGAATCGACCACCGGTCCTCCAAGCATGGGAATTCTCGACTTGAAAAATATCGGAAATAAATCTGTATTTAAAGAAATAATAAAACTTTAATCGTAAATATCTCAAAAACTGAGTAGTTGCGGCTATAATGATTTTTTTTGCTTGAACTGCATGACAAAATCTATAAACTTGTAAAGTTTCAACTAAATCAGTGACCCGAAGGACTAGCACTCTCCTTGTAAATGGATTTAATAAAGAAAAAAATGTGTATTTTTATAATAGTGATGCAACAACCCACTTAAATTACCGTACACATGATTTATATATTTCAGCTACATTATATATAATATTGAAAAGAATACAATATGTAAATAAAATACAAAGTAGATTTTTAAATTCTTACTACTTGTTAAAATATTTATATACAATATTTAATGTACAATATATAATTAATTGCAATAGTTTACATTTACATATACAATTTAATTATTGTATAAAATTTATATTTCAAATATGCCAATTTAGGTCATTAATTATATAAGAATTACATATATTAATATCATTTATTAAGTTTCATTAATATATTATGAAGTTCATTTCTGTGTTCTCCTAAAATCTCATAAAACTTCTCAAAAAATAGTTTTGCAGACTCCTCAATGTATGTTTTTCTTCTTTGAACCGCAGCTAATTTATCTGCTGTTTCTTCTAATTCTGTTGCAACTTGTATACTTGGCATTGAATCTTGAATAGCTTTAATATCATTTTGTAAATTCTTTATTTGTTCCTTTAACTTTGCTTCTTCTTGTTTAGCATCAATTTTAACTTTACTCATAAGGCTTTTCTTTTCTATAATCTTATGAGCTATATCATTATTTTCATCTTCTAGAATTTTCATTCTCTCATGAAGATTCTCTAATTTATTAGAATTTAATTCTAATGAACGTTCCTTTTCAATAATTTGTGACTTCAATAATTCTTTCAAATTAGTCATTAAATTAGCTTTAATATTTAATATTTCCATAATTTCAGGTTGTAATATACCTTTTTCTGGCATTTTTAACTCTTCTAGATTTACACCTATATCACCACTAAGATGCATAAATATTTCTTTATTATATGTTAGGACTGCTTTAGTTAAATTATTGTTAATAGATGCTAATTTAATATCCATAGTGTATAGTTCTTTCTGTATTTCTTGTAAATGTTCATCAAACTGATGCATGTAATTTTGAATCTCTGTACATTTTTCTAATATTTTATCTCTTTCTGTCTTAGACATTGGCTGTTGTTTTATGGTAGAAAGTAATTTATCATGTTGTGTATTTTGTAAACAAATTTGTTCACACAAAACGTTACATTCAACATTTATTTGATCTGTTTCAAAATTGATTGTTTTTATGTATTCCTCTTTGGCAATGATGTCACTCAATTGCTTTGCTTCATCATTCTGCAAGGATGTGAATACTTCCTGAAAATGTTTTACTTCTTCATCTATGTTATTTGAATTTTTTTCAGCTGACTGCAGTTTAAGCATTTCTTCTTCTAACTCAGAACGTGCATTATTTAAATCATCCTCATTTACACCTTCTTGCTCTTCAATTTCCTGTAAATATTTTTCAACCATTGATGCTTCCTCATCCAATTTCTCATCATTCCAAGCATTATAAAAATTCAGCATTGAAAAGAAAGCATTCCTATTAATTGTGGATTCTCTTTCATTTCCTATAAATGGTAGGTTTTCTAAATTATATTTTTCAGAAGCTATATCCCTTATTTCACAAATTTCTATTAACCAGCATATCCAACCCAAAACATTAGGCCAAGAATGCATAGCATTAGCAGTTTTTAACCAAGATTTAGTAATTATCCCTGGATAATGGAGTTTCTTTGCAATTTTTGGCAGTTCCTCCACATAATTGGCAATTGTAAGAACTTGTTTAATGTCCAATATTTTTACTAAATATGCAGATATTTCCACAAACATTTTCAAAGTAACTGGTTTAAAGCTACCATTACTATTAAGCATTGAAGAACAATGATTTATAGCAAAAAAATTATCAATTTTACTAAGCATATAAGACTGATATGTCTTATCTGTTAACGGTCTTGTATCTTTTCTAGGACCTTTTAGACCGACATTGCTAGCACGGTCAGCTGATAAAGATCTACGACCTGTTGGAAGTCCTGTATGAATTTTATTAGAAGTTCCAATTGCATAAAAAGTGGATTTGCTAGAATTTGCTATTGGTGTATTTGGAGTTGTAGGTGCATGACGAAGTGGAGTTTTACCTATGAAATTATTAACAAAGATTACATATATTTGAAATATTTGTTGAATTTTAAATTAATAAATAATTAAATGAGTTTGAATTAAAGAGTTTGAATGTTAAGAATTTATTATATATTTTCACCTGTTGCTTTTAATATTGGCCCCTTAATGCTCGTTCTATCACATGAAGAGGCTCGAAGTCTCGGTCTTGGTATATGAGAATTATCAACTGTGGAAATAGAAGCTTTTGGTTTTAATGTTTGTGTCTTCCTCGATTCTGTCCGTATTAAACTTTTATCTTCTTTATCAAACGTAGATATTCTTACAGGATTCGTAGATGATCTACGACCTATATAGTTACTCGACATTTTAATCGAATTAAAGATACTATCACATATAGTAATTATTCGAATACAAAATTATATTAAAACACTGAAACTTTCAATACTCAAAGCATTATACTTAAACATTTTGAATTTTATCGTTAAACATAGAAGTATGAAACATGAGATTAACAACTTGAGTAGCGTACACGATACGATTCTGTAGTAGTTTATTTAAAACCCGCCCAATTACATATTCCTAAAATAAATATAATAACGAATAGTTTAAAATGAAAGTTATTATTTTTTCGAAAAATGTAGTAATAATAAATTAGGAAATAAACTAAAATAATAAAATAATCCAGTAGGGGACAAATATTTCACTCATCTTAAAATTATCTAGCAATTACAATTTAAGGCTTCTAGTAAAAAATATTTAGGTGCCTAGCAAAAATAATACAGGCTCTAATTATATGTTTATATTTATATATAGTAAAACTTAAGTTTCCAAATTAATGTGTAGAATATTTATATTTCGTTAAATAATTCTACAAATATACTTTCAGAATAGAACAATAACTATTTAGAACACATTTTTTCCATTTATACAATATTTGTATATTGTTAAAATTTAATATGCAATCATTTTAGTATTTTTTGTATATTATAAAATGCAATGTGCGATAATGAAATATGAGAATGTTTCATTGTACTTATTAAGATAAAAATATACCACTGAAACATTAATAAATTAAATATAATAATATAAACATCTGAGTAAACATGTTAAGAATATTGTGTAGATTAACTTATGTACATAACATTAAAAATGTAAGTATTATATAATTGAGGCTTTTCTCAAATCTTCTTTATAAAATGCAGTGTAAGTTGTATTTAATTTACTGTTTCTTTTCAAATATGTATTTATATAGGATTTATGGATTCAATCATTACAAAAATGTTCTACACTAATAGAAAACAATGTTGAAAAGAACATAGAGAATTACCTAATATACGAACCAAGTATTCTATATATAATAAATAAAAGTAAATTATCAGTTTTAAAAAAGTATGTATATAATTGATATTAGTCAATATGTTTATTAAATACAAATCCATTTTCTTTATTATTTATATCATTTTAATATAGGTATATTGAAGTAAAATGTGCTGATGCAATAATATTAACCCGTATCAAAGATGGATATTATACATCATTAAAGGATTTATTATTAAGGACACAAATAAATTTAGATACTTTTAATCAACTTTGTAATTCAATCATTGATTCTGGGATAAAATATAAAATGAAAGTAACACCTAATATAGAAGGAAAAATTGTATCTATATATTTATATTGTCTTTGTCAGTTAAACAGTAATATTAAATAGCATTAAATTAAGAAAATAAACTATTTTAGAAACCAAATACGATATTGGGTATACATATAGGACAGACTATACTGAGTTGGTCATTGTTAAGCTATGATTTTAAGGTACTAGATTGGGATTGTATAACTTGGCAGAACAATAGTTTGGACAGGACTAATGTTTATGATATAATCAGTGTGGTAAATATTTTAAATTTGATATTTTAAAGTAAAGTTAAAATTTTGTTTACCAGTTATTTGTACTCTAGGCATCAACTTTTGTCAATCAATTACCACCATCTGACACTTATGTGATGCAAGATTTCAACAAGGCAACTAAACAAGTGTACAATCTTTACAATGTACATATTGGTATTGCAAGTTGCCTTAAGTTTATGATAAGGCAAAGTATGTTTTTATAGTATTATTAAAGATAATATATAATGGTTTCTTACAGTTACTAAAATTTTATAAATAAACATTTTAGGACAAAATAATTCTATAACATCAGAAAATGATGTATATATATTAAGCCCTTTAATGGCAGCTTATTGCTTTCGTCTTATACTTGGTAATGAAGTACTAGCTACAAAATATATTATGAATGTGATACTAAATGATGTCAAGTTAAATAATGAAAAGTTGCCTCAGATACATATAGACAATACATTAAAAAGTAAATACATAAAATTAAATAATATGCAGAAAGAAGAATTGAATTGGTCTTTACTGAAAGCTTTAACCTTTGGATATTTTATTAAAAGTTCTAGAAGCACAAATTAACTGGAGTGTTAAATTTTGTTATAAATTATGTTAATAAAATTTGTTACGAATCTATGTAGTTAGATATTTCATTGATGATATTTATGTTAAAATAAAAACGAATCGGGGAATATTATACGGATTAATACAACGTGTACAGATCCATTCATTTATTATATATTAATTTTCATTATACTATCTATTCATAGTACACTGTAGTCTAATGTTTCTCGTCTCTCGAATACAAACTCATCTTGATTAAATAAACGGATAAGTAAACGCTTGGTCACAATGGTAGCGGTAAGAAATGTTTATTTACCGGGATGTATATACCACTGCGAGCATTGAGTGAGTATACGAGAGCAAGGTATTCAAGTAGTGACTGTTTTGTGAACATAGCCAACAAATTTGTACGGCCAACTAAAAATACAGATTTAGACAATATTTTTGTGCTCAAACTCGTAATGTTAAATTAGGTACGCTTATTGAAAAGATAGTAACACCGCTACTTAATCCGGCAGTGATGCTGTAAAAGAAGCATATTTCTACGTATCATTATTTAATCGAGCATGGATAAGCACACCACAAAGTCCTCCACTGTATGTATCTGAAATTTTACTGATTTTTGGTACAATTACATTAAACCAAAGCAATAAACAGGAAAACATAATATTTGTCGAATTAATGTTAAAAAACCAGTAAATCAATGTACTATTTCTAAACATAGAATTGAATTGCGTGTGCCGGTGCTCGTGTGTGTTGTGTATCTCTCGGTTAAACATGTAACAAATACAAAGGAATTAGTTGACTAGCCGATTAAGCTTATATTCTTTTGAACATAAATTTATGACACATGTAACAAACTAAAATTAAATTAGACAGATTTCATAAGCCAATTTCCTCGGTAATCTTTTGATGTACAAACAATGCTAATTTACTTTCAAGTTTTTCAATTGTATTGTAACCGTTTATAATTATATCTATGAATCGAATAACAGAAATATCAACCAGTACTCCATTTCCCTTTCATTGCCGATAGACTACAGATCATTGGATCTGATGTCGAAACGACAAATAAATACTTTATACAATTGAACTATGTGATTGCACGCACCTCTTACAATGTGCTACTCGCAATCGCATCGCTGCCAGGTTAACACAATTAATTAAATCGTTAAAGTAATACCCGATCAGACCAGCTGGAAACGAGTCTTGACATATATGTATATCGACATATCTAATATATATTTCTGTGTATATAATATATCTATATGTATATTAATACGTATGTGCACGTCTGTATTACGCTACAACACATCGTGAAACAAAAACTGTTAAGTACGTTATAATAATTACTATTTCTTTCTTTTCTCTTTTTCGCCTCTTTATATAGTTTACAATGCATTTTTCTTCTTTTGTTTTTGTTTTGTATAACTCGAAACCTTCTTATGCAAGCGTATACGTGTATAAAATCTAAATCCAGCTTAAAACGTACACATCATCTCGTGGACCGTGCACCGAAGCGATATCACCAGCTCGCTTCGAACTCGTGCGAAAACGATGCGGCTTGAGCATCACCAAATATAATTGGGGATAGAAGTGTGTCTCTCGCGATCACGAAACTATGGCTCTGTGTTCGGGCGAACACGTAATCGATACACAATTACAACATTAAAAACGATACTCGATATTGTTTAAATATACATAATAACATTACTAAAATTATATAGCATCTATCTTCGATCGTTGCGGAGTTTCTTTGTGCATGATATTGCAATTCCTCTCGCGAACGAAATGCATAGCAAACGCTTTGATAAATCTATCGCGCGCATAAAACGAAGAAAACGAATTACGATCCTAGACAGAAAAAGCTCGACGCTTAAATATCGTTAAATACACTCGAAATATACTCCGACTGATCTAATTCAGTCTAGTAGCATCTTCATGTATTTTCTGATCATTCGGTATCATGGAATCATTCAATGAACCTGACGGTTCCTCGTGGACTTCCGCAACTTGCGCATGTCTCTCTGATTTTAACGCGACCACATTCGTTTTCAACACTCGATATCCTGATAGGATTTTGGTAATTCGAATATTTAGCGCGTCATTTAGAATCGTAATATCGCATTTCTCGAATTGCATTGAGATGCTCCCTTCTCTCTGTAGATGCATGACGCAATTCCAATAACAAGACGGTCAACGAACTTTCACGTTTCACGCACACACTCGTTTTACAAGTTAATAGATGTCGCCACATCGGAACAATCGTTTTACACGTTTTACATGTTAAATAAAAACTACGTATCTAAGCCAGTCTTCCTCGTATTCTGCCGATTTCACATAATCGTGCGCTTCTTTCGTTAAGACGTTCATTTCTCGCGTATCGATCAATAATTTCTCAGACGAACGAAATGAAAAAGATAACGCTGATCGATTCGTCAGCCCCGTGTATTTTTTTTTTCCTTTTTTTTCCACAGAATGCTAAATACTGTTTAACATTCGGAGAATTACATACATACATATATATAAATGTATATGCGTATCCATTAAACATTCATTAGACGAGTAGAACATTCTTCGCGTGGTGCATACTTGTATAATCGAGAGATCTAACAAGACAGGATATTAACATACGAAAAAACAGGAATATCTTCTGCAACGTTCTAGTTTCAATATGAAATATACCGCGATTAAATTCCCCTGGCCTGCATGCGATCTATCCATACCGATTTCAAATATCGATCTCGTGAGACGTCGCGTTACATCATCGCTGTCAGATTAAGCAAAGAACGCAATGTTTTGAACGACGCGATCGCATCGTGATCCATGTCGAGACACGTCCATTTAATAGGGAAACAAATGCGTCTCTGGAAACACGCGTTTAATAATAATAATAATAATAATAATCATAATAATAATAGTAATAATAATAATAATAATAATCAAGAGACGAACGATCGATGACGGAGGGATGTATGGACAGTTTGTATATCGTGTGAGACTTTCATGCGATGACATCGGACGATTGTCGATACGCAATCGAGCTTACGTCGCTCGTATTGCTTTGATTGAACTCGTCGAAAGTACGAAGAGAATGATTTCATTGATCCTCGGCACTTTTCCACCTTTCGGTGCGATCGTCTGCCCTCTCTAATGTAACGTTAAGCTATACATAATTTGATACAAAGTTTTTTGACAGAACGGGATCGCTTGGTAACGGAAGTAGCATCGTGGGCAAGCTTTCGTCGATGCCTACTTTACACGGGAGACAATGAAACGACGAAGATCTTTACGATTTTTAGTTATTACTTTACACACACGGTCGTGCACTTCGAATACATTTACAATAGCCTATTGTAGTTCAGCGTACTATCTTTTTCCTTAGATACCACACGATTAGAAACAACGAGAGACAGAGATAGAGCGAAAAGCGCGAGGAAAATAGTCACAAGCTCCCAATGCTCTGGCATTCTTTCCCTTTTTAAAGATATTTGGTCCGATGCTAAGAGACTGTTACACTTAGACAGGCGTCACGCGTGCCGACGAGTAACAGCACGGGCTTTTTTGGAACGGACGTCAATAATAGTACATATTGGAAAACGAAAATCGTACGCGAGGAACACGATGAGTTATTCTGATGCACCCTTAATGCGTTGACCGAAGTATCCATTTCAGATCACTGAATTATTAATCGCGATAAATGATTCTCTAACATGTCAAGCTATCGCCCAAGTATTACAATAGTGTCGATCGAATATACAGATTTACGCGAATAGCATTGTCAACGCTTTGAAAGTATGCAATCGATGAAATAACCCATTATCTAACTTGGTACACTCGATTAGACGATCAAGAAATATTTTCCTTTAAACCCTTTAGACTAGACTGGTGATAAACAAGCAGGATCGTGCCGATTTGAAGCAACCTGGCACGCTTCAAATTCCAGGACGATCGGGCGTTTCTCTGTTCCGGAAGCAACCGAAGAAAGGAACCCCGTGTGGCACGATGAAATAACATATATTAGAATTATAAGTGAGATTCATTCGCAGCGCACTTAATTACGGGTTTTCGATTATTTATCTCTTTTTACACGACTCGAGTACTTTCAATAATGATGACGAAACGTACATTCGTTTAGATGACAAATCCGACGACGACGGCTCATGCTGATCAAGGAATAAAAATTTACTGGCTCGGTCGTCACACACACGAAAAGGCAACACGCAACACGTAAGAGAGAAAGAGAGAGAGAGAGACCACGCTTGTTAGATACATACAGTAAATTTAAATTGGGTCGATTCTACTTAAGCGTTTACATTTAATTTATCCAAATGTTGGCTGCGCACAGATAAGTACTCTGTCTAAATATACTTTTCAATTCGGTGTGCGAGAATAGTCTTCCACTATATTAAATATATATAAATATAAATATATATACGTATTCATCTATTTATATTTATATTTATATTTATATATGAACATATCATGTATGTATATATCCCCTTTATCTGTCTTAATTGCCCGATTATTCTCTATTTTCACGGAAACGATCGAACAATGACTGGCATCGATCGTAACTTTCGATTCATCCATATTCATGATGCAATCAACAATCAATAACGCTCAGAACAATATAGTTCGGGAATCCCTCGACTCGGTGACAGATTCTGTTCTCCTTCTTTTTTTCTTTGCTCCTTTCCGTTCTTTTTTTTTTTTTTTTTTTTTTTTTTTTCTCCTTTCCTTTTTTTTTTTTTTCTTTTTTTTTTTTTTAATTTTTTCCTTCATTTTTTGTTGGAAGCTGTAGTAATAAGAGACATTTGTTTTACGTTACGCAGATCTAGTGTGAAAGGAATGAAATACTCCGTTGAAAATAATATCACAGCCTGGAGACATGTTGGAAGACTAAGAACCATGGCTATAGCATCGCTGCTGAATTCTCGAAGGCAACTGAATAGAATGGCACGGATTGCAGTAATTCAGACCAGAAGAATTTGTTGTATAAACGATTCTTCGATGTTTCACCATTCATTTAGCAAAAACATAGAGGTTCGATAAAAACGACTAAACTTAACGAGAACAAAAGTTTATGAACAAAAATAACAACGTAACATTTTACTAACAGTCCCTATTGCTATGTTACTTTTTTTTGTCCTCACGTCACTAGTCTCCTTCTTCCTCCTCCGTGATTGTGATATTATTTGGAAAGCTTACCGCTTCTAACTGAGTTTCAGTCGCAGTGATTACATAGTTTTTTGTTTCGTAGTAGTAAAAATTACATTTGACCGTTTCTTTTTTCGATTCGTCGAGGAGAAAACACGACGAAAAGGCGGCCGTTAAAAAGTGACTAGCATACGCACTTGTTCGCACAACGTTCAAATTAGTTCAAACCGTTTCATTTTTTTTTTGTTTTTTTCTATATTTTTTTTTTTTTTTCTTTATCACGATGCTAGACGTATATCATACATGTATAACGTGTATCATACACGTGTAACAAAAATAGGTTTATAGGTTTTTTTTTTTTGGTCGATTTTTGTTACCAGGATTCACCGATAAGACACACGTGAAAATGATCTGAGACTACATAGCTCAGCCATCTTTTTCACAGTGTTATCGTAAGATAGTTTAAATTAGAGTGTGTTACATATAACATCGATGAGTATAAAGATCCTAACGAATAAAAATATAAAGGAATTAGAGAAATGTTGCTCTTGTTTGTTCCTTTCTTTCTCGCGCCTGTAAGAATGATCGATGGTTGGTTTTGTAAGCACACTCGGTATTTTAATTCAACAATTCCGCGAAAAATCATGGCTGCGCATTCGAGCCTGCAGTAAGAAATAGCTATTTGTTTAATGTTTCTTCGTTTCAAGATGAAGTGTGGAATTTTCAAAATAGCTTATTCGTAAAGCGATGTAACTATAAATGTTGTAAATGATTACAATATAGTATATTATCGATCGAACATATCGTTCCTCGATGAAAAATATACAGTGATGTGCGCTAGAGCAAGTGTTCTATTTCAATTTGAAACAAATGATTGTAAACGATAATAAATATAAATAATATATGCGGCTAGAATAATAATGATCAAACACAATCTTTTGTGCGCGCATATATGTAATAAACAATTAAATAAACGATATTGTATTGTGCGCTACGCGAATATGTATATCTCGTAATACTTTTTTTTATTAACGCAAAGAGCAAATCATGTAATTAGGAACATAAAAATTAGGAAAATAGTCCTGTTAAATGTATAAGGGAGGAAGAGAGAAAGAGAGAGAGAGAGAGAAATGTTTTCTATCCAAGTATCGTTAGATGAAATGTGTAAAGAATGAAACGATATTCTCCCTATTCTCCTCATCCTTTCCTTCCTAGAGATGAACTTAAATGCCACACGTTCTCATAGAAGATAGTTGCTTTACATTTAAAAACCGTGTAGATACTAATAATTGCTCTAACTTGCCTGTTGTGCTCTTTGCCATTTTATAGTTTTAATTTCTCTAACATAGCATAGTAGCTATTCATCGTCATCGTCATGATAGAAACACAGTGATAATTAAGAATTTTATCACTCATGTTATTTTCATTGTCTAACAGTTTCATAACTAAGCTAATATTTCCACAATAAGCTATATCAATAAAAGTTATTCTACTTTGTGAAAAAACATAACACAAGACACCCTAATAGTATCTTCATTAGCTTCGATGAATTTGTAATGATCATCGAAGTATACGAAATAATTTAATTCACTCTTGGCATATTCAAAAAAATGGAATACAGCTCCTAAAGTATCAAGTATAAGAATAAAGAATGGCATAAAGGTACATCATTTGAGAACTCTGTGAGTCTGTCGATACGTTGCATCACTCCGAGTATTCCTTTTCTTTACTTTTCTTTCTCTTTTTACGAACAATTCGATGAAAATCTTATTTAGTACTCAGACTTCTATCTTGTAAACGTTTCGAGCACATGACAAGATAGGCTAATACTTCCTGATCCGATGCAGTCTTAAGAATTCACTTGTACTGTGATCACAATGCTGTAATGCAGATACGAATCGGTTGAGATGCTTACAATTTTTTATGTTCTTTTCCTTTTTCTGTTATCCCTTCACTGTGTGTCATAGGTACAAACTTGGTAACTATTAACGACGATTCTTACTGGTACACGTCTAAGTGAACAGTCATTACGAAAGTCGACTCGAGATGATACTTGAAAACACGCGGATGAGATTCATAAAGTGGGTGGTACAAGTTTGTGCTCATTTTACATTACTGTACGAAAGTGTCGCATCTTTAGTACAGTAGTGCAACGTATCACTGCTCGCGAACAGTTCATCGGATATCAGAAATGTTAGCCTTGCTGCCAAAGATTTTGACTAGCTGATCTTCGTAATCGTCGATATTACGTTTCATAAGTTCCATGCAAGGTCCAAGTAAGCGTTCGAAAGCTTCAACGTCCAAAACTGAAAAAGTCGTATTAAAATGAACCATGCATTTCGTGATTATACTGGTCAATGTGTAATTACAGACATAGTATCACATACATCGACACTCTAATTTTATTTATATTCATATGGAGATCAAATGTATAATGTGAGATAAGTAGAAGCACTAGCACGTAATAACCTAATAGAAATTAGTATCAATAGTATATGAAAAGAGAACTCACAGGCTAGTTTTACATCGCCGACAGCGTAGGCCGAAGCAGCGCGAGGTTTATGTGTCACCAGCGCCAACTCGCCTAAGTACCCACCAGCGGGAACTCTATTAATCTGCAGTATCAAACAGAATACCAAATGACATCCATACAATTGGCGATGTAATTAGTGCACTAGTTTCCTAGGTAGATATGGTACCAGCCTCATACTGTACCGAGCTATGTAGGTCAGTGATCGTTGCAATTATGTTACACGTTGGAAAATGAAAATCAACAAGCTGTCGTACCTCGATCTCAAGACCGTGATCTCCTATTATGGTGATCTTGACGAGGCCGTCCTCGACAAAGTACATTCCATCGGCTGTGTCGCCCTGTCTGATAATCTGATCGCCATCTGTATACTGTTTTGGTACTAGAGCATCCGCCAGGTTCATACGTTCATATGGCTAAAGACAGAAAAATTAAAACACGAATATTACTCAACTGTTTCTATTTCCCTTACTCCATATCGATAGTTATCCGTATGCAAACTAAAATTAATATTACATCGAAATGTGATGAAACAATGATCTATAAAATAAATCTTAACAATTTTAATTCTAGCCGAACATTTCTTGGCAATCGAAGTTCCTTGCGCTTCGTCCAAAATTCAATAATACATTAAACATGTAATTGCAAATAGTCAGCTGCTGCCATCAATCAAACAAAATATCCTAAAATACCATCTGAATGTTTCCTTAAACAAATACCTAACTTGTACACGTTATATTTAATCTCTTGTATTACAATGAGCGATGAAGCAATATCGCTTCTAAATAATCTGCTATTTACGTTCGCCGGAATGTCTTCCGCTACAAATTCCGTAAAATTTACCTCGAGAGACTTAAGCATCGGGACCTTGTTGATAAGGTCCTCGTACATTTTGCGCTTCCTGTAGGCGGACTTCAATAGAATACGTCGGAAAGTCTGCCTATCCATTGCCCACAGTGTACCAGACGTGATAGCCTTGATACTTGCTGCCCTCGGCATGTTATAAAGAAGCGCCAGCTCACCAAAAGCACCACGATTATTGTACGTGTGTATCATAGATTCCACACCAGCTTGATCTTTTACGTACACCTCGAATTTTCCTCTGAAAAATGAACAACATTCGGGTAATCCGTTATCTATGATCGGCTTCATCCTACTTGTTGGATTTCCATACGGAATCGAGAACGAAGAAGAAAAGAATATATTTTACCTCTCGATGACGTAAAAATTGTCACCATCGTCACCTTGCCGGATAATAAATTCTTCGGGCTGCACGATCTTCTCGAACATCGCGTCCAACACGTCCGCCATTTGTTCCTGTAAAGAATTCATATAACGCGTGTGTGTGCACGTGTGTCGTGAATATTTCATGACTAGAAACGTTTGCTGTTTTCTAACATACATGAACGGCGACGATAATTGCGATATTTCGAGTCAGGTGACTTACATGCACGAACTATCGGCTAATTATCATATTACAGAAAAATATCTATAACGTTTTTCTCAGTCATTTCGAAGAACTTATTACATAAGATACTCTATAGGCGATTTGAAAGCTAGCATATTTTCTTATTTCTTCGCAACTTCTCGAATCCTAGGCAATTATCAACGAATCGAACGATCTCCAAGTAAAATTAAAAGTAACGCAAGAACAGCGACGAGTGCTCGCTCGATCATTAGTAGTTTATATTTGTATCCTGGTCAAGTTACTCGAGCCTTTCTCTCTCTAGAGTAATTCATCCCCGAGAGTCTGAATCCCAGTTGAGCAGATTACACGTACTCATTGGCATTTCCACGAGTTGGCGCGAACCCTCGTCGCTCCGTATTCCTGTTTCAATTACGCGCAGGGCAGAGAGTGTACGTGTACTATGTTTAACTTACCTCATCTAGAGCCCGAAACAGAAGAATATGCTTTACGCTGTCGCCGAGCCTCTGCCGTTGCTCGTCGCTCTTCGGATGCACCATCTGCAACCGATGAATCATAACGACGATATTACGAATAGATCGAATTTTAATCTAATAATAATTTTATTTACAACTACCTGGTCGCTTTTACACAATCGAGACGCATTGCCATATTTCCTCTGTTATTATTACCGTACCAGGTAAACAGTGGATACTCGAATCGCGCTAGATTCTACCGAATGCTTGAATTTACGAGCTCTGTGAACTCTTAATGGTTAAAGGAATTACGATCATCGGGCGGTACGCATCGATATTATAAATTAATTGCAGCGTGATCGATCGATAACGCGAGGCCTGAATATACTATGTTCGTTATAAAAAGAAAGGGTTTCCCATTAGATACGCGTGGGTAGATTGCACAGCACGGTAAGTTTAAAAAAAAGGAAGAAAAATCGAACTCTTTTACGATCTTACGTTTGGTTTACCAGCGGTAGATACGCTGGAAAATAAAAAAGAAGCTAAGAACTCTAAATTACATAGCGGTGATACATATAATTGCGCATTATCTGTTTTCCCAAACGTATGATCGATTCTCATAGAGAGGATGATACAGCGAGCGATACTCTCCTTCATAGAACACTCCGTACAGCTGTTCCGAATCTCGATCCGCTTTTTTTAGAAACTCAACACGGGGATAAACAAATCTAAGTCGTATTTCGTTTCATATTCTCCGACTTTTCCATTCGCCTTCGCTTAGTTTTAAAGACGGTGGCCGAACTACCATTGTTTCTGTCGCAGTTCTTTGATACATTCACCCGTGTAGATATATCGTTCGAAACGATATCGCGTTTCAAAACTTCAGCCTGCTTTATTCGTGCCTTCGAACACCTGCTTCCACCACAGGCGTGAAGTTTTCTTACTGACCTAGAGAACTTACGTTTCGCACTGCGTCCCCATTCTAAGAAGGAGCGTGTCTCAATTGATTCATCTGCATCCGAACCGCACGATGCTTAATGCTGGACCGAATACGCGTAATTAATATTTTCAGCGGCAAGTTCCCACAGCGCGATAGCGGAGTTCTCAATGCCGCGGGTGTCGAGGTGGGACTCTTGCATAAAGCGAAACGACAAACTCGAAACACGGCAACGAAGACTCCATGCGTCAGAGGCGGTATTATCTAATTGCTCCGATTAAAACGAGCGGAGGAGGAAATTGAAAATTTCGCTGAAAATCGTATTTTCGAGACAAACCAGCCGGCTACCTTGTGCATCGATCACACGACTACGCGGGTTATATATTACATTCACCGTCATACGACGCTACAAAGTGATTCACTAAAAACGGAACACCTAATTATCTTCTTTGACGTTAAAGTTGGGTGGTCTCGTAGGTTGACTATATATAAGGTACTTAAAATCATCTTTTATTTCCACACGATAATCAAGGTCATCAATGGTTTCTTCCACATGGTTATCAGGCTATTAACATACACATATACGTGCAACTGTGAAAAATCGAACTGATTTCATGTATCAAGGATTTTAAAACATGCGGCAACTTACTTGGAGATCAAGTCATTCGAAAAGATGACCGTCCAATTATTTCGAGCATCGTATCAACGCTTCACACGAGAAGCGATCATACTCCGACTACCTCCCCCAGATATCGATTCGCCTTGTTTTAATCAACTGGCTCAACAATAAAACATATATGCATCTACATAAAAAAAGGCATGTGGTTACGCTTGAAAAAATATCGATAGCCTTGATCGGTTTAATATAAACGATTCATGGGAAAATTGAACCTTACGTCTTATTCGCCATGTGGCATTTGCTCGACGATTTATCCCTTCGCGATAAGGAAGACAATTAGACAATTCGACCGAGATCCACCCGGTATATTGCCAAAGATTTTCCAATCGGTTTAAGTAGATCGAGTTACCGATAATCGAGATCGGCGCTACCTTTTGAAACGCTCTCGAGCAGTACAATCCCGATCTGACGACGAGCCTTCCCCATGTGTCCCTCTTTCTCTCTCGCTCACTCTCTCTCTCTCTCTCTCTCTCTCTCTCTCTCTCTCTCTCTCTCTCTCTCTCTCTCTCATTCACGAACACTCTCACGTGCACACGTATGTACAACATACATATGTAAGTCACGTCGGTAGCAGGTTATCGAACACGCGCTCTGACGTCACAAAGGTACATCGCTCGCATCGTCGAGCAAAGTAAATCATCCCGTTTCGTCACCCGCACAGCCTGAATACGCCGTGTTTCGATAAAAAGAAAAAGAAGTTGCTTTCTATGTTTCGCGTGATAGATCAACATGTTAGATCGACGAAACTCAAAGTCCATAGCGGTAGCGACGTCTTCTGGGAACCGCGTACCGTTTCTTCCGAAGCGATCGACTGTGTGTTATTATTCGAACGAGTCATAAAGCATCCATATTTAGCTTTTATACACTCGGTGCACGTGTCTGTGTACATATACGTGTATCCTCTGTGTACATGTATCTATACGTGAAACACGTTAACCCTATCCTTGTCGCGTTCCAATGTACCGGAATAAAGGGTTTATTTTTTGGTCCCTTCGACTCAACTCGATACATTTAACTTAAAGATAGCGAAACCTCTCCTAACCAATAGTTCTCCATATCGTGGCCAATTCCTCGGTCGTATTGTTCGATTAATATCAATCGAATATCGATTCAACGTAACTTTCGCTCGAAGCTAATTTATCGACATGGTTCCTTGCGTAACGTGACCAAAAGTACATAGGGATGTATATAGAGAATGAAAAGGAAATGTCACTGAAAACAATCAAGATTTGTTGAATGAAACAATTCAAATTAGCAAACGTAAAACGCACCTTAACTCCATCTTCTTCTTCGTCTTCCTCAGGATTGTAGGCTTCTGCAAACACGCTCTTC